TCTGAGGCAGAATCACTTTCTGGAGTTACACTTCAATGCTGACATGGAAGCCAAGTATCTGCTGTGTGCAGCCATCTCCACATCTCCTGCTTATGCAGGAACACGAATAAAGTGCTTTTAAAGTCCATGGAATCTCCATCACCCATTACTATCACCAAAAGTCTGACTTGCAAGACTTTCTCCCACTTAGGAAACAGGGAAGGATGCTGTGAGGCATAATTCACCATTTAATGGGCTGAGAACCAAAATCCACCCTGTGTGTGTACAAGGAAACAGGAAGAAAAAGTTACAAAAGCATTGACTGATCCATTGTGAGTGTGTGGGTGCATGTGCGTGTTATTAGCTTTGTCTGGCAGCACTTGAAACACGTTTGTCAGCACCTAAAGGAACCAATTCTGAATTTAATGCATCCAAACTGAATGAATTGCAGTCTGGAGAAAATGAGGATCTGTGTCTGACTTCTTTTCAGGACTTATATGACTTTAGTGAGCTGGATGCTTGTTTATAAGTAATTACAGTTACTTTACCAGAAACTTTTTATGTCCAGTATGTAATTAAAATGCAGACTTTAAACTCAGTCGTAGGAAAGGCATGGATTTTTTAACATACTCAATGCTCTCCTCCTGGCATGTCAGCTGGGATTTTATAGCAGAAGCAAAACCTTCTACAGGTGGGCAAAACCTTCTAGAGGCATGGCAAATTAAACAGGATGCTGAAATATTCCTGAAGAAAGAGCTAATAGAGGGAAAGGGAAATGGAACAGATTGAACTGTACTGCCCTCAGCAGTAATATTCAGCTGTCCCAGTTCAAAAGAGCAGAGTGACAAATGCATTCAGGTGAATGGCTGGCCTGCCTTTAGTGCAAATAAACCAGCAGCCTGAGCAAACTCTGTGTGTCTGAGCAGCGCGTGCAAAATTCACCATGGCTTTACCAATCACCCCCACAATGCAAACTGCCACTCTTCCCTCCAAGGGCCTGTGGCAAGGGTCTTTCACCCCTACCCCAACTGCTGTACCCACCAAAAAAGTCAGAGAGAAAAGCACAAGTGGCAAGCAAGAAGGGTCTTGCAAAACAGAGGTGGAGATGCTTTTCCCTGCAGGAAAGGAGGGAGAGCAGTGGGGAACATGGGCTGTCTATCTGCTCCCTCCTGCCAGACTCCATGGCACCCCTGTCAAGTGCTCCAGCCAAATCCCCTGCCTTTAGCTGCAGCAGGTTACTGACACAGGTGAGTTTTTCTCCACAAGTGTCTTTAACAGATTAGAAGAACCTCAGCCACACCTGGTTGTTTGCAGGAGTTGCATTGGTCAAATGTGATTTGCTGTGAAGTAGCAAAGATCTTCATTCTCTGACAATGACCCAGCAGGTCCTGACTCATCTGCAGAGCTTTCCTCTGATGCCTTCAAGGGCCATCCAGATCAGACTCCAGTCTAGGAAGAGCCTGTGACAAACAGCTACCCTGCTTTCCACCCAGGGCCCAACTTGGGAGCCTGTTGCCAACAAGGGCAAGGGAGGAGGAAGAAATACAGTGAGGAACAGAGAGGGCCCTTTATCTCTATCTTAGCATAGGACTTTTCAGAACTATTCCTACTGTCTTTCTGCTCAAACTGTATCATTTCCCTATGGGATATCTTGGCTGTTCATGTGAGCTCAGCATTGCACCATGTGTTAAAAAATAATTTTTACATTATCTGCAGCGTTTGCACTGGCTCAGGATGAGGTAAAGTGGGGACATCACTGTTTCATGCTCTGTGGGCTGTGCTATCCTTCCCTCTTGGTTTGGGCCAGGCTGGGCTTGATTTTCCAAGATCCCAAAGTGAATACATCCTGCCTGATTACAGCCCTTCCTTTCCCAGAAATCATCTTATGGAATAAGCCCTGAACAAACTGTTTCCTATATCCCCTTTAACCCTTTTCCCTCCACCCAAGTGCTCTGTGACCCAAGGCCTGCTCCAGAAGGCACGAATTCAGTGCAATTCCCTCGTCCTGCCCACTCAGAGACTGTCAAAAGCCAAAAATGACAGCACTGGAGTGCCAGAAGCAAGCAAGTCACCTGTAATTTCACACCTGCCATCGCTGCTTTTGTGGCAGCTGGCGAGGCGAGAAGTTGATGAAGGTCCCACTTGGCCCAGGCTGAAAGTCAAAGCAACTGTTGGGCTTTTCAGGGAACGTCCTTTCCTGAAGTAGGAAGGCAGGTAGAAAACCTGCTGGCAGCTGCCCAGGGGCATCTGCTGCCTGCCTGAGGAGGCATTTGTGCTTTTCGCACGCTGTCCTGTTCTTGGTAGAAGCTTTCCTGAGCTGGAAAAAGCATCAGCCACCATCAGCTGTAGAAACACTTTCTGGGCTGTGGATTTCTTTCTGTGGAGCCACAGCTGAACTGTGTTGGCCAAGTCTGCCTCCCTTCTAGGTGAGATTTAATAGAGCCAGGTGAGTTGCAAAAACCATCCAGCAGGTTTTGACTCCACCAGTCAAATCTAACCTGCAATTTGGATTGTTTCTCCCTACAGGTGTGCAGAAGTGAGGCCATAAACCAGGCTAGGGAACTCCATAGTACAACTCTGCAAATGCGGTGACAAGCTGGGCTCTGGTACCTGCTTTTCTGCCCTCCACTCAGCCTCTGCTGCCCACTACCAACAGGAGCCTGGCCTGCCTGTCCATGGGCAAGCCCAGGCTGTATTTCTCATTTGATGTGAGTTATGGCTCCCAGGGAGCAGTGATCTTGTGGACTTTTCTGTCCCTGACCAAGAGCTCACAAAACCAATTTTCTCCTCTAAGTCTATGCACTGTAGACCCCTCACCAAACACCCACCACCAGCCACACATGAGCAGCATGCTCAAGCCAAGAGGAGGGAGCCAGCCCCCCGCAAGAACCAGAGGAATCCAAACAGGAGCAAGACTCAGGACAGAAACCAGACTCACAGAGGCTTGAGTATGTTGCATTGCACAGACACAGTCTGGCCTCCTGGCCCTAATATCCTCTGACAGCTCGCAGAGCAGGAGCCGAGCAGGTTAGTGACTCGATCACGACACCAACTCCTGCGGGACCTGCTGCTCCAGAGTCCCCACTGCCAGGCCCCAGCAAAGCACGCAAGGAGCTGCAAGGATGGGCAGCCCCTGGGGCCTGGAGCAGTGACTTATCTTCTCGACAGAAGTGCTGGCCAAATGCTGGGTCCGCTCCAATCCTTGAAAACTGGAGTTTTGGAAGGCAACTTGAGCCAGGTCCTGGTAAATGACTGTTTGTTTGATGGCTAATTGCTTATGAAAACAGAAGGCACAAACTCAATCTGTGCAGGTCTTATATCACCGAAGCCCACAGAAACATGCACCATGCACCTCAAGTCAAAAGCTACCTGTCTGAGAGACTTTTAGTAAAATTTCTAAGTTTCTAACCCCCCTTCTGTCACACTGCAGAAGTAAAAAGCTAAAGCCACCCTGTGTAGCTCAGTTCATCAGGAATGTGTTAAGTTATGCCACAAAAACCATCCCTTTGCTGCCAAGCAGCAAACACACAGAGCTGTGAAAGGACATGTGTGCCTCCCAGTTAATGTCACCTTCACAGCTTCCATAGGTCACAGCACAAGCACACATCCGCTCCAAAATAAGATGCCAGGCAAAGCACGGATCCCATTCTGAACAATGCTGTGGGCCCAGGGAGAGATGAGGAATTTAAGGGAAGTGGAACAACAGGAAATAAGGAAAGTCCCTCCAGCAAAGACCCTGTGGCCCCTCGGTGGTCGCTCAGCACTGCACCACACAGAGGAGTGACACAATGGAGTGACTAAAGGGCGGACTGGCAGCCAGCATTCCCATGGCCATTGTTGCCAGCACGGGAACTATGCAGAGAGCAAACAAGAGCTGTGTTCCCAGGCACTGCAACAAGAGATGCATCCACTCCAATACAATGACTTCCTGAAGCTCCTGGACATGCCAGGTCATCCTAACTGGTAACTCATATCCTGAAGCAGGAAAAACTGTGCCAGGAGGGTATAAAGAATCAAGCATTCTGGACAGGCACAGGCTGAGGATAGATGTAACCTGAAAGTCACTGTAAGGAAGGAGATCCCCTTCAGAGAGTCTTTGTCTGGCCTAGGGGATATATGGGAGAAGTAGAGGACTAATCTCACCCAGTTGTGGTCTCACTCATGTTGCCTCTAGAAGTCACAAGGAAGGAAGGCTTGGAGAAAGAGAGGGGATAATTTTATGGTCTCTTTTCTGGCAATGAAGGCCCTGTAAATCCCAGGGAAAACTGCTAGAAGCACCAGCTCTGGTCAGGAAAGGAGAAGATGGACTGCTTTGGGCATCAGTGTGGGAGCCACATTGGCCTAAACAGCTCTCTCCAGAGGATGCTATATGCAGTCAATGCATGTAGAGGACAACAACAAGGACAGGCTGGGGGATCCATGTGGTGGTTTAGCTCTCAAAACAGCTCCTGCAGGGATTCAGAGCAGGGCGTTCAGGGCTAATCTCTGCGTCCCCTCAGGGAACCTGAGGATTACTGCCCTACATCTGCTCACAGGGTTGGGCCCCACCTTGTCAAGGCAGGGGAGGTGCTGACAGCCACTCTCAGTTCTGTAATCGGTTTGGGATAAGCAGCAATGGGCCCTGTCCACTGTGGTGCAGCACCTCTCAACGAGTCCCTTGAGTCCCTTGCTCACAGGCCCAAGGGCTTCTCTTGAGCCTTGCCTAGGGCAGGAATGCACCTCATGGTTTGTGATCAAGGGTTGGCTCCCGGCAGCAGCTACAGAGAGCCACAGTGCAGCTTCCTTGGCTACCTCACACAGCAGTGCCTGGCCATCACTGATACCTACTCAGCAATAGCTCATGGCAGAGTCTTTGGCTACAGCCCCAGCCAGGGTGGGAGTGCAGGTCACACTAATCCCCAGAGCTGTGCTTTCACCTCGCAGCCCATGACCCCCACAATCAGCCAACTTCCCAGCAAAAAAGGCTGCAAAACCCTGCATGGGCTGAGGGGTTGTACTGTTACCAGTATGACATCACCTACTTGCTTCTTCTTCTGCTCTCCTCTGCCTCCTGAATATGCCTCTCAGAGCTCACTGCTGGTCCAGACAACAGCTTCATGGGACACACTGCTGAGCTTTCTTCCTTTCAGGACTGAGGAAGCTGGTTTGGGATCCAGCTCTGGCTGTGCTAGTTCCAAGCACTCAGCTCCATCTGCTGGCTGCTCTGTCCTTGATCGCTATGGAAACATGGAAAGCTCCATTAGGAACAGCCCCACTTTTAGCCAGTCTTCTCCCAGCCCTCACATTCTGCTGTCAAAGCCATAGTCACAGGGCTGACCCAAACCACTTAAATGATGCACGTTTCCAAAAAGGGAACATTACATTGAAAATATTTTATTAAATAATGTTACAAACAGGACAATACATATCAGATTAAATCAGAGATTTTTACTTTATAATCATAACTTAAACATAATTTAAGAAAGACTTTCTAGACATACAAATCTCAGGCTCCCATTTTATTTGTAAATAGTATGCAGGCATGAAATCCATACAAACACCTCCAATTTATTTTAAAATTACTTGGGCCAAGATCAATGGTCACAGACCTACTCAAGAACAACTATTTTACATTACAGTTAACAGCACAGAAACATCCTCAGTAAAAGTTAAAAATTAAATACATATGTATATACATGTATTACAGTGCATAATCCCACAGGGATGAGATAATTTCAGATCTACCTGCTGCCTTCAGAAACCAGAGTACCTTGTATAAGCACTATGGTTCCTAGTGCTATTATTAAAAAAAAAACAAAAACAAACCAGTAGGTTTAAAGTCTCTAAGTTTTTTAGGATATGCAGCAGAAACCCAAATAATTGCCCATATCTGCACAGGCATATTCATTGACTGGGACATCCTCTTAAACTGACTTCCACAAGCCAGGATTGATGGTTTCAAAGCCATTCAATGAATACTTTTTCAGACTGATTATTCTGTTTCTGCCAGCATAACCCATATGACTCCCGAGAAGACACCTCCAGCAGTGTAGTAAGTGATGTGAAATAATGCATGTCTTCACTTCACCTCGGTACCTTTGAGTGGAGCAGAGGAGGAACCAGCCTCCTCTTTAGGCAGCAGTGCACTCTTTGCTCACCATCTGGACAGGAGATGGCAAGCTCCCAGTTATCATAACTACATGACTGAATGTAGACAGTATTTTGCCAGAAGGCCAGAGTTTTACTCTCTGCTTGTCTTCAGTGGAAATACTTGACAGCTTGAGCTCAGAATTTCTGAGCAAATACAGAAGGTCTTTTGTATTGCAAGAGGTAAAAACATCTGGACAGCTGCTGATTTGCATGCAGCTTCATTTTCCAGAAATCTGAGACAAAGGTGGCTTCCATTCCTGCAGAGAGAATAAAATTCCTCCATAAATCAGAAAATTGGCATAGATTTGTATTTGCTCTCATTTCAGAGGAATTTTGTATGCAGCAGGTAGCAAAACTGCACAGAAATGTTACTAATACTATATGCAGCTGGACAGAACCCCAAGCACAATCATCCTTAAGGAGCTGAATAACTATTTCTAATGCAATAAATCCATCAGTCTTGTTAGGAACTTCCATGCAATGCCAAGATGCATATTAGGTACCCCAAAGCACATATTGCTGTTTCAGCAATGGTATAGCAATTAGCAGCTCTGATTGCTTGTGTGATAAAATGGAAGAGAATTGGGGAGTGCAGCCTTCTCATGCACTTACCTGAAACACCTGAGTTAGACATTCTGGCCAGCACTTTGGAAAATACCCTCAGTGGCTGTTTCATGCTGGTTACTGTAAAATACAGAATGAAAAGTACTTTAATGACAACAGATTTATATCAAATGGATTTTAGCAAAGGGATGGCACTGTTTTTCATGTAGTTTTTTGAGACACAACTTACCTGAAAGGAATAAATTTCTTTGCTGCAAGAAGAATAAGAAAAGGTATTAGATTTCAAGACAAAAGCCCCCTCATGCAAACATTTTCTTCTATTAAAAAACTCTGAATATCTCAAAAAATGTCATTATCTATCAATAAATCTCACAGGCAGTTATTAACGTGTCATTAGCCTCATCTCAAGTTCTCATTCACTTTCCCTGGAAGCAGTTACCTATAAATAAAGTGCTGCTTTTTTTCATCTAATTCTTGTTTTCTAAACATTTGTTTTTTACTATTTTTTCACTTTTTTAGATGTTCATCCAAAAGCCAGGCATGGCATGTGTGGGTCTTTGAAAACAAATTTGCAACTTGTCAAAGTACGGGAATTAACACTTTTTCAAAAAGCAAGGTATAGGGCTTTGGAGGTTTTGTTTTTTGATTTCTTTTTCTCCACTGAAAACTTTACAGGAAGGTAAATAAAACCAGACCAACTGCTCACCTTTTCTCCGGAAGCGTTTTGCAAGCCAAAGGAGGAATGATGCCGTGGACAGCAGGGAAGCAGAGGTGGCTGCTATGCCCACAGTGACGTAGCTGACTAGTTCAGGAGCTGAAAGGATGAAAAGGTTTCAGTGAGATCAAGAGGCCTGTGTGGGTTTTGAAGCCCTCTCTACTTCTTCCCTTTTCTTGTGCTCTTCAAGAGGAACCAGAATTGCAGCTTGTAACCCTTAAGTTTTCTCTTGATGAGACAGGACATATCCTGTACCCAAGGTTAAAAGCTGCACACTAAAAATTACCCCCACCCATTGACAAAGCAATGGCAAGGCAACAAGCTCCTACACCAGGGTTTGTCTAACCTCCAGCTTCACATGGCAATTTGTGCTCATTTTATTTTTCATGTTTCAGTTCATATTTTAACTCCCTGTGTGCCCTCTTCCTCTTTGACCAATACTGTTGAGATAATGAAATTATCCAAGGATCTAAATTCTGCTCAAGCAAATATAAGTGGAGCTGAGGTTTTAGGACCTCAAGTATTTCAGGCAGGTTCAGGGTGTTCTCACTGAGGACAGTGACAGAGCTTTAACTTCCTTGAATGAGAAGGCAAGGCTGAGCCTCCTGTCCTTTGAAACTGCAGCCTGACAGAAAAGCTCTGTGAGGTCTTTTGGCTGAGAAGTTCATCCAAGAAACTATCACACCAAATTAAAAAACCTATAAACTTTTCCATGGAGAAACAGATGAATGCAGAATTTCCCACAAGGTTCTGTTTCTCTAGAAAAGCTTTTGTCTTTATTCATATGAAAAAAGCTCAACATGAGAAATATTTTAATGAAAAAACAAACAAAACAACCTGAAATCAGGTTCCAGCTTCTGGGTTTTGGATAAGAAATCAACATTTTTCACCAAGATCTTTTAGTATTTTTACCTTCCTCTATTTTCTTCAATCCATGGACTTCACCAGATGTTCTAGCTCACTGGTTGGTATTACCACCACCACCTCTCCTGACCTCATCTGTCTAGAAACCCAGTGCCACCTCTCTGTGGTTAGTCACAGGTAAAATACCTTCACATGTGGGCAGGCTGGCACTCCAGGTTCCTGAGTGACTGCACTCCAGAACATGAGAGCCGTTGAGATTCCATCCCTCGAGGCAGCTGAAGTGGCAGGAGGTGTTGTACGTGAACATCCCAGCACCATGTGAGCAATCCATAGAGCCTTTCTCAGGAGAGCTCAGTGGTTCACACTGTACAACTGAAACACAGAAAGAAATGGTTAAGAGTCATTAAGGAATTTCCTGCCTTTGGCACTATTGTTTGCACTGGTAGATGTACACTTCATTTTCAAATTCATTTGACTTTGGGATGGGAGCAGCTTACAGAGCTGTGAGCAGGCATTTCTAAGGCAGGGCAACTCACAGCTGAAAATATGGGAGCATAATTTAGTCTGGAGCCATGACCCTAGAGAAATATGGATTTCAATGTGTTCCCCAGTGACCAGCAAACTGCCATTTGCCAAGCAGTAAGTCTCACCTTTGCATTTTGGCGTTGGCTCTGACCACTGTCCCTGTGCCGTGCACTCAGTGCTGGATGGGCCATCCACAACGTAGCCCTCATTGCAGCGGAACTCACAGCGTGAGCCAGAGGTGAGATCTGCGGCATCACAGCTCACAGAGCCTTCTTCTGGCCAGCTTACAGCCTCACACCTCACAGCTGCAACACAAGGAGATCAACACAAATCAGCACAGAGGCCCCAGGAAAACCACATGCCAATGCTGACAGCCCTGAGTGCTCAGGTGAGCAGGGGTAGGGAAAGGTACCTGCACAGGATGGCTGCTGCCTGTCCCAGGCCCCAGAAGACCCACACTGCAGTGTGGCTGGTCCTGTCAGGGTAAAGCCTTCCTCACAGGTGAACTCGCAGACGGTACCCCAGGTGAGCTCCAGAGAGGGATGGGAGCAGTTCACAGCACCATGGGCAGGCATTTCCAAGGCAGGACAGGTCACAGCTGAAGAGCACAAGAGACAGCACAGAGCTTAGTTCCGAGTAGGTCAAGATAAACACTCTCCTTTGAACTGACAAAAGAACATGCCCTGCTTGAAGCTGTCCCCTACAGAGCCACAGTACCTCCCTTCAAACCTAGCGGTGTCTCAGAAACAGTGATTTCAGCATCTTACACAGCGCAACCAGAGCCTCCAGACATGCAGCTAAAGCACACAAGCTATCCTGGGAATGCCTCCAGATTATACTCCACAGTGGACTGCATAAATGGACACTGGCTCCCACTTGGGTTTTATGGAATAAAGAGCTCCTGTAAGAACGCTCCACTCCAAAAGCCTGTTATCCTATGTACTGGGGACACCGTCCCCAAGTGTTGTTTGTCTCCCTGCACTGCTGTTTCCTCATTAATACAAGAGGTGAAATGACCTCACCTTGAGATCTGCTTATGAAAAGTGCTCTACTGCACTTCAATGAGGAGGTCTCTTCAGACTCCTTGATCTACTCTAAGCCTTACTTGATGGCTTCCAACTCAGTAAGTCTCACCTTTGCACCTTGGCACTGGCTCTGACCACTGTCCCTGTGCTGTGCACTCAGTGCTGGATGGGCCATCCACAATGTAGCCCTCATTGCAGTGGAACTCACAGCGTGAGCCAGAGGTGAGATCTGCAGCATCACAGCTCACAGAGCCTTCTTCTGGCCAGCTTACAGCCTCACACCTCACAGCTG